AATAATAGTTGAATTTATAAAAATGACCCCATTCAAAAGTTTAAATAAGCTTGATTTTTAATACTGTGTTGTTACCTGGATGATCCACAGCTGTTTTTTTGTGATAGTTGTTCGTGAGTGCCTTGTTTGTCCCACAAATTCTTTGGTTTTCCAGCATCTTTTGCATATTTGAACCCTTTCCAACTATGATTTTGAGATCCATCTTTTCACACTGAGGGTAACTGAGGGACTCATACACAACTATTACAAAAGATTCAAATGCTCACTGATGCTCCAGAAGGAAAAACTTAACCTTCGGTAACCAACGTCACTGATTGTGATTGGTAATTATGTATCATTGTAGTGATTGGTCATGTGTTTTGGATATACAGAATGTGCAAGCACTGTTAGTGTGTGGGACTGTTGTTGTTGATGTTTTTTCTTATGCTCACTAAAGCTGAAATTATTTATTTTAAATCCAATAAAAAGAGCAATATTGTGAAATATTATTATAAATATATATATATATATATATATATATATATATATATGATATATATTATAATTTAAAATAAATGTTTTCTATTTGAATATATTTTAAAATGTAATTTATTCCTATGATGGTAAAGTTGAAGTTTCTTAATAGAGCAAGTGAGGCAAAGCGCACGCACACCTGTAGAGGTGCAAGTTGAAGGAAAAAAATTAAACCTAATTGAAGGAGAACAACTGCACACTCACTTAAGCATAGACTATTTATTATCCAACGTTTCAGCTAGTAGCCTTTGTCAAGGGCAAGACCTTGACAAAGGCTACTAGTCGAAATGTTAGATAATAAATAGTCTATGCTTAAGTGAGTGTGCAGTTGTTCTCCTTCAATAAAGCTGAATTTTCAGCATTATTACTCCAGTCTTCAGTGTCACATGATCCTTAAGAAATCATTCTAATATGCTGATTCGCTGCTCAAGAAACATTTATTATCATTATGAGTGTTGAAAACAGTTGTGCTGCTTCATATGTTTGTTTTCAGGCCTCCTTGATAAACAGAAATGTTCAAAGAACAGCACTTATTTAAAAAAGCTAATGTTTTTACATTTTAAATGTCTTTACTGTCACTTATATGTGTCCTTGCAGAATAAAAGTATTAATTTCTTTCAAAAATGTACTTACCCAAAACTTTTCAATAGTTCAATATTTTAATTGTGGGTTTTTATTCACATTTAGTTTAACATTTTATTTTTTATATATATGTACAATTGATATTTTTAAAACAAAGAATAACCATCCCCAATGCTGCGGTCATCAAGCAGGCAGAAGATTCAGGTTTTTCCCATATAAAATACGTAAGAATATTAACTTGTGAATGAAAGTATAATTGCTTTTGCTTTCCATATCATTATTTCACACATTATTCTGCATAAACTGGTTCATGATTTGTCCTGAATATTTAGTGTGTGTGTGTGTGACTTTGAGCATTACATTTTGCACATGAGTCCTTAATTTTCTGCACTTTTCCTTGTCTGCCTGCCACTATTTAATGCTTTTTTTTCTTTCTTTTTTTGATGTTGCAGGTTTTTTGATATTAAAATGTTTATTTGGATTCTCCTCACGTCTCAGATATCTGCTTCTTTAAATGTCATGCTTATTGACGTTGGAACCTGCTTTGATATGCTACATTTGTGAATGTGCATGCAGTCCTACTATGGTTCAGCTGAATCTACTAATGCTGCTGGTGAAACAGGAAATCAAAGATTGAAATATGAGTTAAGACAAACTGAATGATATGGCTTTTGTTTTGCAGGCTACAAAACAAATAATATCCTAGTTCAAATAGAGATAAATGAATTGATCAAGATTTATATATTACTATTTATACCACAGTGTACAAAGAAAACAATACTGAATACACACACATTTAAACAGTAGCTTATATGTTACTATTCACACTGGGACGAAAATAGCATTTGCTTATTTATGCCCATATTTAGTATGCGAATGCAAATTTGCATTCAAGCATTTTGTATAATTGTATACTTATTTTGTATAATTTTGTAATGATTAGGATAATGAATCAAATATGTAGCTTCCATTTAATAATGCAAGTTAAGTTTGCGAACACACTGTTGATGGCTGACATCTTACTGTCCAGGTCACTTTGACTTTCTATTCACTGGCTCAGAAGAACCATGTAATTTATCATAAATTTAAAAAGTCATTCAAGAAAATGTTCTGTTCTGCTGAATATAGAAAGAAACACGATAGATCAAGTTCTGCTTCAGTAGTCATTGGCCATTATCACTTCAGTACAGCAGCGGAATCATAAAGCAGATTGTGACATTATTATGACTCACACAGAGCAGTGGAAAATGAATAACAGTGAATTGAACTGAATTTTGTGGACCTCTAATGGCTGTTACAAAGAGAACAAACTGAGAAACAGAGACAGGTGAACAGGTGAAGGCTTATCTTAATTAAATTGGTTCTCTCTGTCTTCTATGAACTTTATAATTGCCTCAAGGACAAAACATTACATAGCAGCCACCACACTTGCTTAACACCTGATTTAAAATAAATAAGATGCATAA